TTTTGTTCATGCTGTGCTGTTAAACCTGAAGTGCCCACCCTCTTTTTTCCCTTTACAAATTCCTATTTATCCTTTAAAACCCAACTTAAATGTCGCCTCCAAAATGAAGCCTTTCCTGATCCCCTTATGGTAATGACTTTCCATCTCATACCTCAAATAGCTCTTTTCTGATGCACTTTGAGGTTGTGTATTATAGTTATGTGCTTCATACCATTATTGCTAGCTCCCTGAAAGCAGGAATAATTTCTTATCTAAACTTTATATCTCATGGTGCCTTGTACATAGTAGGCTTCTAATAAATAAATTAAATTGACATCTAAATTGAATTCAACTTTTAGTAGTAGCTTTTTTTTTCAATTTTAGATTTTTCTTGACATGCTTTGTTTTTATATCACCTTTATTTCAGACTTACCCTTAGATCCTGTTGTACCTACCAACCCATCTCTTATAATAAAGAATAAAGGTGAAAAAGAAAGGCAGTTCAGCAGAACTACATCATCCAAGTCTGATAGTATATGAAATATTTCATACATGTAGTCTCCTATCTCTACAAAGAAGGGAAGGAAGTACATTTTCTCATCTTTTCTTCTGAGCTGAGCTTGGTCACTATAATTACAAGGGGTTTATAAAATTTATATAATTACTTTGGGTTTTTTGTTCTTTCCATTTAAATTGTTGCAGTCATTTTATGTGTATTTTTATGGTTCTGCTTACTTGACTCTGCAACAGGTCATTTAAGTCTTCCCATACTTCTCAGAATTCTACACATTTATTGTTTCTTTTCTTTTCTTTTCTTTTTAAGGCAATTGGGGTTAAGTGACTTGCCCAGGGTACATTTATTGTTTCTTAAGATACATTAATACTCTACTTCACTCCCTGACCATGACCTCCCCAGCCACCAGTATACTCAATTCAGAAACCAATTCCTGGAGGAATTTACCCTTCAATGCCCAAATCCCCTGCCCTGTGGTCTTATTATAATGATTGACATTGCCTTAGTTACCCAATACATTTAGGCTTGTCCTCCAGACACACTTCATTTCACTGTCGAGCCATTTCCTCTCCATTCAGCATGCTATTAAGTGCAAATCTTCTGTTCCCCTCTGCCCTTCAGTTCTGAAAACCTCAACTCTATCCTCTATAGCTACACTCACCATCCATAAATTTTCAAACCAAAATATGCTTCCCTGAATACTATTCTCCTGTATGTATTGTTTTTCCCTATTGGAATGTAAGCTCTTCAAGGGCAGGGACTGTCTTTGTTTTTGTAGCTCCAGGACTGAGGACAGTGTTTGACACATAGTAATCACTAAGTAAATGTTTTTTCATTCACATTACTCTCACATACCACAATTTTTCAATGGACATCTTTTGTTTGCAGGTTCTTTGCTACTATTAAAGAAAACTGCATTGTCTTTTAATATAGGTCTAGAAATAATGTTTTTCTTTCTTTGACTTGATTCATTCTAAATTAAGAAATCATTTGGGACCTGAAAAGGCAGGAAAACGTTTCTTTTCTGGTCCACTCTGTGAAGAGGAGCATCTTCTGATACCTGGTGTTCCAATACAGCTTTGCTTGCCTCTTCTTCCTGGGTCACTTTGCACCGGGTTGGGGAGGGGGAGGTGTGTGTAACTCTAATCGTTCAACTGAGGTGAGAGTGGAGGTAGTGACAAAAGACAAAAGGAGAGAGGAAAGAAGGGATGGAAGATAGATGCGAGTGGTGTCCTTCCCAGACCTCTAAACATACAGTTATCTCTCCTGTATCTGCTACCTATCAGCTGGTTGGAACTTCAACTCTGATTGGCTGAGCCAGGTTGATCTGCAGCCCCTCAGATCCCACTTATCTCTGCAAGAATAAAGTGGTTATAAGTCCAACTAGTACTTCAGTGCTGAGAGGCTCTAGAAACCCAACTTTAAGATGGAGTTTTGGTAACCAGTTATCTGTAATAAGGCCCACTTCCCTCAACTTAATGATTTCCAAAAGCTGTTCTGGAGTACCCTGGATCTGGGGAGGTGTGATAGGAGAACCTTGACTTGGAAAGTAAACTTAGATGGTGATCTGATGTTTCTTGATCTTAACATTCTTTCTCTATAAACCAATTAAATTGCTCTTATTACAATACGAGATCAAAGTGATTTTTAATGACTGATTTTCAATTGGTGGAATATGAACCAAAGTGTTTATTGAACCTTCTGCATCCCAGTAGACTCTCAGAATAATAAGAAAGTGGTTTTGGAGGAAGCAAGGTACATTTCCATTAAATTTAGTAAATTGAGAGGTTGAAAGGACCTTAGAGATAAGTTTAGGTGGCACAATGGATACACTACTAGACCTGGAGTAAGGAAGACCCAAGTTCAAATTCAGTCTCAGACACTAGTTGTGTGACCCAGGCAAGTTACTTCACCTCTACTTCAGTTTCCTTATCTATAAAATTGAAATAATAATAGCACCTACCTCATAGGGTTGTTCTGAGGATCAAAGGAGATATTTGTAAAGTGCTTGGCAAATCTTAAAGTGCTACATAAATGCTAGCTACTATTAGAAACCATTTCAACTGCCTCATTTTACAGATGAGAAAACTGAGACCCAGAAAATAGTTTGCCCAAGGTCACATAGGTGGTAAGAAGCAAAAGCAAGAATTTAGCCAGCTGGTATCCCCCCTTACTCACTCTCCCTTGACTCATACCAGGGCCAGGGATAGGGAAGGCTCACTGCTGCTCCCTGGTCCTATGCCCCAAGTAGAGAAAAGGAAGATGAAAACTGAATTAGCTACATTAACCTAATAGTTCCATTTCTTCATTCTGACCTGGGTAAAATAACCTGCTTTTTCAAAAACTTCATTAGGAAAACAAAACACCCTCTACTAATTAAACCTATTCTAGTTTTGGTTAAATTTGTTGGAAAAAAAAACCAGAAGCCCTGATTTTAAGGCCACCGTGTAATCCACTCCATCCGTTGCCTCCCCTCAAGCACTCATTGCTCATGCTAGGACCATATATTTTTAGGTCTGCAACCTGGGAAGTTGCTTTTGCCTTAGTTGGTGTTATTGTATTGCTTAGCTTATATACACATCCATTTGTTTTGGGAGGCTCTCATGGGCCTGTTATAATGGAACTCCTTATTAACTGCTTTGTTCAATGTTGAGAATCATAAACTCTGAATTGGAAGAGATATTTGAGGCCATCTGGTTGGTCCAACCTGTACTTGTATAAGAATTCCCTTTGTAGCATCCCTGATAAATGGTGTTCCAGGACCTTTTTAAGACCTTGCTACATATATGAGGTGCTTACCTCCTGATACAGCTCATTGTGTTTTTGGACAGCTCTAACTACAGAATTAGGAAAATGGAAATAAACTTAAAATCTCTCAATCTCTTTTTTCTCTTGATAAAATGTTATACTCCCTGTAGTTGCAGACCTATATTACCTTTAGCTATCAAGATCTTAGTGTCAGATGAGGGAATTGCTTTAGAGCTCTAACCAAGTTTTAGATGAAAAAGCCCTATTGGGTTTGTGTAGCTTAAGCAGGCTATACATTGATTTTGTATAGGTTTCATACACACATCCTTACTTGGTCAGGTGTTTGGCTTTCAGCTTGTGTTTGCCCTAATCACTTCAGCATACTGTTAGTATACATTTGGTCACTGCCTGGGTTGGAAACACTCTCATTTCTTACTCCCAGTGTGCCTTGCATATTGGTCATCCAGACTGTAACTTGAATCAGGACATAAAGGCACTGTTGGGGCAAAGATCTCCATTTTGAAACCCTCTTTTGTAAAGTGAATATCAATTTTTCAATGTTTTGTAAATTTCAATTTTTTTTTCTTCTAGCAGTCCTACACAGATCATCTATGGAGCATTTTTGGTTAATGACGGTCAAGACTAACAGTGAACAAGTTATGGAAGGGCTGCAATATGTATCAGTGGAGTACTCAATCTTGAGGAAAGCATGGATCTTTACATGTTCAAAAAATATCTTTTATCAAGGCATACCCATATAATGGACTTCACACTGAAACAGATGGAAGAGCAAAGATGAACAGAATCTGTTGATGATCATCCAAATTATTTTATTCTGTTTCCCTCCACCAGATACAATGACAAAATTGATTGCATCATGTGTGCTCTTCTGGCCTTTGCTCACCTTCTGGTGAAGATGCTAATATATTCAATGTTTTCACTTTTTAAACTTATCTTTAGTTAGCTGAAGTGAGTGGTAGAAGGACTAGATAGAATTCTCACCTTATTCTCTTTACCCCTTCAAGCAAGGATTCTGGGACTCAATGTCAGACCAAGGGACCTTAGAATTCAGGTAATCCAGTGCATCCCAACCCAAACTCTGTTGTGGAATGACAGAAATGTCATTCATTCATAACAGCTTCAACATAATGGTTTTCCAGGGTTCAGGATCAGGGACTTGGAGAAATAGATAAAAGCAAGGAAGAAGGGAGAACTGAGTTTTTTAAACTTACAAATTTTAAGAACTCTTGTTAGCAAAAGTTTATGTACTGGTAAAAAAAATCTTTTTTTAACTATGGACCCATTTTTGTGAAACTGAACTAGTCCTGTCCCTTCGTTTTATTAAGAAACAAATAGGTCCTGACTTACATAAAGAGGAGACATTTTCCTAAGCATTCAGACAGTATAGCTGCAGTTGAAAAATGCATAGTTGGGGGCAGCTAGGTGGTTCGGTGGATAGAGCACTGGCCCTGGAGTCGGGAGGATCTGAGTTCAAATCCAGCCTCGGACACCTAACACTCACTAGCTGTGTGACTCTGGGCAAGTCATTTAAGCCCAATTGCCTCACCAAAAAAAACAAAACAAGAAAAAAAACCGCATAGTGTTGGTACACACATACATAAGTCATGAAAAGCAAGCAGACACACCCATATCCTATCCCCACCTCTAAACTATCTAACATACTTAATCTCTCACACACCTGCTAATCACCCAAAGTCTGCTCTCATATCCAAACATATAATCAAGTCATATCTGCTAGTAAGGGTTCAGAACTGTATTTATTTGAAGTAATAAAGTACCCTGATGCTTCAGTTGTGTGGAGGTGGGGGTAGCGTTGTACATTGAGCCTGGGCACTTCTGTTAAGTCTTCAGGGCCAGTCATATGATCCCAGCCCTTGGGTCTTTCTAAACATAGTCATCTCTTTATGTTCTGTATGAAGTGTTTCAGGCCTGGAAGAAAATGAGGTAAGCGTTCATGTCCTGGGTCAGTGGTTGTCACATTCCAGTCAGCATGATCACTTGTCATCATAACTACATTCTCTAGGACTATTGGAATACGCATCAGTGTTACAGAAAATAAGCCTTGGGCAAATGGGTCATAGAGGAGATATCCTCAGACTAAGAATAAGAGGATCATGGATGAGATGAGTGGGAACCAGTCCATCTCAGATATAAAAAAGTCTAGCTCCAAAAGTGGATCACAGTGGCAAAGGATCATATAAAGTGAACAGTAGAGAATCTGCTATATAATGAAGCAAGAATTGGAGGAAGGCCTTGGTTATTCTGCCCAACAGTCAATAAACTAGTGGGTAACAGATCAGCTTCTGAATGCCTGAATTTAGTTCCTCAGACAGATTTATCTATAGAGTAGGAATCCTTTAACTTACAATATAGACCAAGTTAAACATTTCTTTAAGACCACTCCTTTGCTGTATGAATCCTTCCATCTTAAATTTGGCTTCCTGGGTGGGCATCCTTCTAAGAAAGAAGGTGCCTAATTGGTGTTGGTTCTCAGGTGAGGGAAATCCTTCAGTAAAATATAATAAATAGGCATTCTGGTGTGCAAGAATCAATTTCCCTAGGACCTGACTTAGATCATCTGCCAGGTGATCTAATTAAAGTGGATTTCCAGAATTGTAAGGCTGAGGGCCACATCCTGGAATACAGCATATGAGTAACCAACTGTTAAGGCAATCCACCCTCCTAACACTTGCAGCTAGGATTAATGGTCACTCTCAACCTCCACAAGGAAGTTCATCATAAAGTTTGTCCACTTATTTTGGGGGGAGTCAATGTCTGATGTAAGCCATCACTTGTATGTCCAATGAGCAGTGGCCCAGCCTTGGCCCTTGCAGAGCTCTCGATGCCGAAGGAAACAGTCATGGACACGGAATCTTCTACCACAGTGAGGACAGGCATGCAGGGCTCCTGCATGTGTCTTCATGTGCTCAGTCAGATGGTGTTTGAGTTTGAATCGTTTGTTGCAGACACCACAGCCAAAAGGCCTGAGACTAAAGGTCAGCATGATGTGGCGGTCCCGTTTTGGCTTCACTGCAAACCGCTTCCCACACAGGCAGCCAAAGCGCTTACCATCAGGGGGAGGTGCTCCCCCTAACTTTACTGGCCCATGCACGGCTTGTCCCGTCCCTCCTGGCCCACCACCCCCTGATAAGATTTCATTCCCATGCAGATCTACTGGTTTCCATGATGGGCCACCTCCACTGGAAGCTCCCCCTGCACTGGGAGGCAGCAGGAATCCAAGATCCCCTCCACCTGCTCCAGCGCCCCCACTAGGAAATCCTTCTCTGGACTCGTCCATTCCTCCCTCAGGCTGGCCCCCACCCCCAGCTACTTCTTCCTCAAGATCAAGCTTCTCTTGCTTAATGTAGAAGATTTTGGGGGGCAGTGGTGTAGGAGGGGCGGGAGGTTCAGCTGAGATTCCTTCACCATCTGGTAACCTACGGGTGGTGGTAGACATGGGCAGCGAATTGGGGGCACGAGGACGAGGGGTCCCCCCTGCCACTCTTTGGGTTTGTGGGGTTTGAGGGACAACTGGTAAGGCTCTTTGTTCTTCTTCCTCCTCCTCCTCCTCCTCTTCTTCTTCTACCTGAATCTGCAGCACCTCTCCCAGCTCACCCCCCATTCCTACAGCAGGGCTCTCGGTTGGAGTGGGGGGCTGTACGGGAGGCTGAGGTGGGGCTGGGCGGGAATACCACACCCCGGGAGAAGAGGAGGAAGAGAGGAGGAGGGTGTGGTTGGAGGTGCCTTCGCAGAGCTCTCGCAGGATCTCCGAGCACTGATCCACAACCTGCCACATCTGCAGGCCGCTGGCAACCAGGAGGTGAGCAGGGAGCGCGTCCAGTGGCAGGCGCAGGCGCCCGGAGTAGATGAGCTGGAGCAGCCCCTCGAAGGCATCGGCCTCGATGACATTGGGCAGGGTAAGCCTCGGCGCATCCCCCAGGAGAAGCTTGTCGTGGAAATAGGGAGAGGCGGCGGCCAGCACCGCCTTGTGCGCCCGGAGCTCCCGGCCTTGCACCTGGAGGGACACGTCGCAGAACTTGCCCTCCAGACGGTGGCGGTTGAGGGCCTCCAGGAGGGAGGAGCTATGCTGGGGAAACTCGATCTGGATTGTCCTGGGGACCGAGGCAGGGCATGAGGGGGCCGGGGCCGGGACCCCGACGGGGGAGGGGGGCACCGGGGCCAAGGAGCCGGGGGTATCCATGGTGTCCGGAGGAGGGGAGGGGCCGATGAGGCAGGCCCTCTCACGAGCGGGCGGGCGGCGGCTGTGGAGGAAAGGCACCGCCTCAGAGCCGCCCCGGCCGGGGGAGGCTCCGTGTCCCCTCGCCTCTACACGAGTTGCCCAACTTTCCGAGCCCGGACGCCCCTCTCCTCCCGTCCGCGGCGGCCGGCGGCTTCCTGGGCGTGGCCCGCGGTCCTGGGGTGGGCGGCCGCCCCGGCTCCACTCAAGCCGCCGCGCGCTCTCGCCTCGAACCCCGGCCACGGCCAGTAGCACGCCGGCTGTCCCCAAGTCCTGCCAGGAGTGGGGAACCTGCGGCCTTAAGGCCACGTGTGGCCTTCTAAATCTTTAAGTGCGGCCTTTTGACGGAATCCAAATTTACAGAACAAAATCTGGGTTCAGTCAAAAAGCCGCACTTGAGGATTTAGAAGGCCACACGTGGCCTTAAGGCCGCAGGTTCCCCACCTCTAAAAGCCCTCCGACTCCGGAAGCGGGCGCCCCGCCCGCGCCATCCTGAGCCCGCTCCCGGGCGCCCGCGGGGCTCTGCGCCGGCCCCTTCCCCAGCCTCCCGTTCCCCGGAGCCTCGGAACCCCTCCTCCCTCCCCAGCTGTACCTCCAGGCGGGAACTCGAGCTGTCCGCTAGCAGGAAACGCGCCGCCGCCTCCGCGCCCCGACACCAGCCTCGACGCGATTGGGCGGGGCCTGCTACGGCGACCAATCAGAAGTCAGCGTTTGCAGCGCATACAAGCCTCGTCAGGATTGGCTACCTTCTGGCAAAGAATTGGAAATTGAAGGGATGCCCATCAGTTGGGGAATGGCTGAGCAAGTTGTGGTGTATGAATGTAATGGAATACTATTGTGCTATAAGAAACGATGAGCAGGTGTACTTCAGAAAAACCTGTAAAGACTTACATGAACTGATGCTGAGTGAAGTGAGAAGAACCAAAAGAACATCGTACACAGTAACAACATTGTGCTATGAGGACCGACTTTGATAGACTTAGCCCTTCTCCAATGATCCAAGACAATTCCAAAAGACTCAGGAAGGAAAATGCTGTCCACATCCACGGAAAGAATTAGGGAGTCGGAATGCAGATCGGAACACACTACTTTCACTTTTTTTTTCTTTCTCGTGGTTTTTCTCTTCTGTTCTGAGTCTTCTTTCACATGACTTATGTTTATGTTTAACATGATTGTACACGTATAACCTATGTGAGATTGCTTGCTGTCTTAAGGAAGGGGGAGGAGAGGGGAGGGAGGAAGAAAAATTTGGAAGTCAAAATTTTTTTTATAAAAATGTTTAAAACTTTTTATATGTAATTGGAAAAATAAAATACTACTAAGTGGAGAAAATGAAATAAAAATTAAAAAAAAAAAAAGATTGGCCACTTTCACCAGGGCTTGACAAGCATCGGGGGGAAAAGAACATTGGCTTTTATAACCATTTAAAAGAAAGGGCAATAGACTTAACCATTCTACCAGGCTGGAAATGGGGTAGGGGTGGGAGAGTTGTCTTCTGTGGAGAAGGTATTTTGAAGACAGAAGTAACAGATAAACTCGGCTCATACCGAAGATGACCAAATTCTGGCCCTAAAGCCAAGTCTTTCATTTGTCAACCTTGAAACTACCATAATAATAACTATTATGGATTGTGTTTACTCTATCATTAAAAGTATAGGGAACCTGTCTTTTGGGAACTTTAAGGATTGTCAAATAAGGAGCTTCCAACACCAAGACACAAAGTGCTAGAAATATTACATGAGACATGTGAAGCTGCTTTAACCAACCATTTGATGCTGTTCAGTCTTGTCCAACTCTGTGAACCCCATTTGGTGTTTTCTTGGCAAAGATACTGGAGTAGTTTGCCATTTCCTTCTCCAGCTCATTTGACAGATGAGGAAACTGAAGCAAACGGGGTAAAGTGACTTGACCAGAGTCATGCAGGTAGTGTCTAGGGCCAGATTTGAACTCAGGAAGATGAGTCTTCCTGACTCCAGGTCTGGCACTCTTATCCACTGTGCCACCTAATTGTGCTGCCCTTAGCCAACCAACAATAGAGAAAAAAACGTGGGGGTAATAAGTTTTTGAAAAATAAATTTATTGCAGCCCTTTATCCAAGTATCAGTCAATCCTAACCCCTACCTCTTGGTCAGTCTGGCCATCCTTGGCATATGCCCTGGTGTATGTAGGGCGAAAACAACGAGCTCCATGAGAGGTAAGGCAAGTTCCAAATTTAGGGCAGGGAGATAGCCTAAAAAGAGGCCCTTCTGGTTGAAAAGGGAGGACCCTTCCCCCAGAGTGCCAGCCCTTAATAACTTTAAAATAAATCAGAGTAGTCAAGTCAGAGCAGAGGTTGTGACATCATAGAGGGGAATAATGTAGTCAATGGCTCCCAGTCTTGCCTTCACTGAGGAGATCCCACTACTACTATGGGGGGGGGGGGTGTTCCTGCATGGGTTGGGCAGGGAGAAAGTCAGGAGCACAGCAATAAAAGAACAATCTCCTTTTATTAAACATGATTTTCTGTTTCACCACACACTCCAGAAAAAAAGGAAATGGGGCTGGGAGTGGAGAAAAATAGGATGGTGAGGGGGGACAGAGAAGGCTGTAGATGGATTTGGGGCATATAACGAGAAAAAAAATAACCAGAGGTAGGGCAAGTCTCCCACCCTTAGAAGGGTGGATGGGGAGCACAGAAGAGGGGAGGGCCAGGAAGCTTTGTACAGAGGAATCACCCCCCAGCCCACACACACACACACACACCCTGGATATGTACAGTACAAACCCCAGATAATTACAACAGCCAAAGATGGGAGAAGGAAACAGGGGCACTGAAGTGGGGCCTCAATTTGGGGAGAGCAAAGGAGAGAAGGGCACAGGGGATAAAATTTCACATATTTACAACTTCTATATACTATAAATTCGGCCCCGGCTGGGTATGTGAGGAGAGTGGAATTGTGGGAGAACTGTCCATACAAAAGAATAATATGGGAAGATGGGGTAGGGCAGTAGGGCGAGGGCCCCAATACCAAACAAAAGAAGAAAAGAGCAAGGCAGGGAGAGAGGATGGCAGTTAGGGGAAGGGGACACCAAAGAGGGGGTTCCCTCCTCCCCCATGGCCCACCTCCCCAAACCTCATCCATCCTACCTTTCCCATCCCACCAAAGAGCTATGTACAGAGGGAAACACCGAAAAATTGTGGAGCTGGCGGTAAGAGAATTGGAGAGGGGGAAGTGGGGAGGGGAAGAGGGAAGCCCAGCCCTGTCCCACCTCCCAAGGGGACAGAGACACGGAAGGGGGCCCCCTACGCCACCCCACCCTCGGGGGAGAGAGACATGGCTTTTCCTAGATTAAGTTCCCCCCTCCCCCTGGGAGTAGAGACCAAGGGGAGGGAAAGAGCAGGAGGGAGGGAGCAGGAGAGAATTAGGGGAGGCAGATAAATTGGTGTCCCCATAAACACACACCACCCTCGTAAACCCCAACCTCTCCCTGTTGCCTCATTTCTCCCACCCACCCACCCAACACACCAGGGGAGGCTGGGGCATAAGACCCCTCACCCCGCTCTGGGACCAGCCAAGAGCAGATCAGGTGCGGGAGGAAGGGGAGAAGACTCCCATCCCCCCTGCCCAACCCCTCCTTCCCTGCCCCTAGTGGCCCCCTCCTCCCCATCTAGGGTCAAGGTGGGAGGGAGTGAGTTTAAGAAGAATGGAGGAAGGAGAAGGAGTTTGTGCGTGCTGAGCCCCCCCAGGCGCTCCTGAGAAATCAAAGGGGTGTAGGGCCCCCATCTGGGGACCCCTCCCCATAACAAGGGGGGCAGGGGAGGCCAAAATGGGGGGATGGGGGAGTTAGATTGTCGGCTCTGGTTACAGCTAAAAAATCACCCTGAAGTTGAGAGTTTGGAGGTGTCACACCCCCCAAGATGGGAGTGGGAACTGTCCCCCGGTGCTCAGGGGAGTGGGAATGAGGCAGAAGATGGGGATAGCACCCCAGAGTGGAAGGGAGATGTATGAGAGGCAAGGGCCCTCAAAGGAGAGCCCTGGGGAGACATACGGGAGGCATTGCCCCAGCAGAAAGGGAAGGAGAGTTTGAGGGTCCCCAGCCCCCTCCCCTGAAGAATGGTGGGTAGGGGTGGGAGTCATTCCCACAGAGAAGTCAGTCCCTTGGTCCCTCGGCGACATCTGGTCTCTGGCAGGCGGTGGTCCAGGGTTGGAGATGGTAGTGGTAGGGTTGACAGATGTCAATGAGGCTGGGTGGACTAGTGGTCCGTGGTGTTTCGGAACTCGCCGTTCTCTGTGATCTGCAGCCGGGGTGGGGGTGGCGGGGGTGGGGGAGCCAGGCCATTCCAGGGTGGAGCCAGCGTCACACGCGGGTTTGCTGGACCCAAGGTGGGAAGCTGCCTCTCCTGCAAGACACCAAAGAGGGAGAGCGCGGACTTATTGAGACGCTTCAAGGGGTTCTCATTTCTGTCCCCACCAACCAACCTTCCCCAACAACCATGGTTTCCACCCCAACCCCAGGACTCACCCTCTGTTCCTCCCTCAGCCCTCCCCACACATCTCATTTCTCACCTTCATCAAAGAAGCTGCATCCTCTGGGAGGGGTAGAGAGGGGAGAGGAAGGTATTATCCTTTCCTCCAGACCCACATCCCCTTGTACAAGTTGAGGGCACTTGAACCAGGGAGTCAAACCAAGACACTAGCTCAGAAGAATAAAGGACCCCGTCTAATCTAGACAGCTAGAAGGCACAGAGCGGCCTACAGAAGAGGAGATCTAGAGACCAGACAAAACTGAATTCAAATCCCACCTCAGCCACTTACTAGCTGTGTGACCCTGGGCAAATCATTTAATATCTAGGCCTGCCTCAGTTTCTTCATCTGTAAGACAGGGACAATAGCAGCACCTACCTCCCAAGGTAGTTTTGAGAATTAAATAAGATGATATTTGTAATGCCCTTTGCAAGCCTTAAAGTACTATATAAATGCTAGCTATTTTCTAATCCTACCTCCTCCACAACTAACCTAACCTCCTCTATCCTCACCTGAATACTCATATCTTTGCCTGAATACACTCTGAACTATGCTAGGAATTTTGTGACTAGGGAACAGGGGCAGTATTGGGGGGGCTATACAAAAAATCTCATTAATCTGGACCCCCACTGATTTAGAATTTGTGATAACATGAACAAAGAATGGACTGAAGTTTACTTTTTTCTATGAAGAAAGGGTGTGCTGAGCAAATTAGTGGTAGAAATGTGACTGCAGGGGAGATATTTAACCTATACAAAAGAACAAACTTTTCTTTCCTGTGTATTCATTAAATCAGGTTTCCTAAGGGCCTCAATTAGGAAACACTGTTAGCTGAGTTCTAGTTACGGTATGTATTTTAAAATAATAACTCCATTTCTTTTAAATACTCTATCACCCAGATGTCTTTTATTTAAGACCAGCCTCCCCCCAATTATAATATATTCCAAATTAGGGAGGGTCACCCATGTGAAGAGAGGGTTTGAGGAGTACAGTCCTATTGAGAGGAAATGTTATTAAAATAACAGGAAAGAGTGGCTGTCTCCCCCTCATTCTTACATCAGAAATGACTAGGGACCAGGGCAGTAACTCCCTGTCCTCCAATCTCTGTACTT